TCTAGAAGTTGTGGAAGTGGGTGAGGAGGTGGGCTAGGGATCCAGGGTCCTGGAGGTACAGGGTGCCTCTCACCCCAGGCTCAAAGGACCCAGGTGTCCAGTCCCCACCTTGAAGGGGGGGGCCGGAAATGAAACCTGGTAGAACAGAAAGTGAAACTGCCCAGGTGGGGCATCGAGAAGGAAGGAAGAGGCCCCACCACACCTGGACCCGGAGGGAAGAAAAATAAAGCTGGGGAGGGGGAGAGGCGCAGGGCTGCGGATTTGAGCTGTTGGACAAAGGATTTCACCCAGGGGAATATCTGTCTCTGTCCCAGCCTGGCTTCCCATGGGGCAGGCTGAGTTGGAGGGTGGAAACTGGGCCTGCTAGATTTGGGGGTTTGGTAGGCAAAACCCTGTCCATTCTCCCTTCACAGAGAACCCGGGATCACTCTGGCCCTGACCACCTGATCAAACTAAATCTAAACTTCAGCTTTCTTGTCTGTTAAGTAAGGGAGTTGGCCTACTTCCTGATGTTTCTCTGAAGCCCAAGGGATTCATTTCCAGGGGTCTGAGAAAATTCTGGAATTTGGATATTTTGGGATTCCAGTATGCTCACATTATAGATTCATATGCTCTAGATTCCAACACTATATGTTTTAGGATTCCAATAACTTAGGTCAGCAGTAGTCTAATATCACTATGTGCTAGGAGTCTTACAAACTAGTATTCTTAATTTTTTTTTCCTTTTTTGTATTGGGGATTGAACCCAGGGATGCTTATCACTGAGCTACATCCCCAGCCCTTTTTATTTTTTATTTTGAGATAGTCTTTCTGTTTAGAAACAACTTCCACTATTTGATGAGGCTGAACTTGAGTTTACAGTCCTCCTGCCTGGGTATCCTGTGTTGCTAGAATTACAGGCATGGACTTCCACACCTGGCTAGGATTCTAATACTTGACTATCTTAGCATCAAAGATTTTAACAACTCAGCACTCCAAAATCCTCACATTTTAACATTCTAGGGTTCCTACAACTCAGGAATCAAAAATTCTAAAGTTTTAGTATTTCAATAACGTAGGATTCTAATATTTGAACACTTTAATGTCAGAAGAGTTCAACTACTTAGGACACATATTCCAACTACTTGAATTACAAATCTAACATTTTTACAGCCTGGTATTGAACATGAAAACCCACTGTTCTTTTAACAATCTAGGATTCAGTTATCCAGTTCTACTGGGTTCCCTCTTGCCAGGATCCCTGGGCCAGTGCCCCAGGGGGCTGAGGGTAGGGTGGGGGCAATGTGATCTGGAGAAGTGCTAGGGTCCCCAGAGCCTCTAGGGGTGCATAAGGGGTGCCTGCTCCTCCACACCATCTCAGGTCCAGAGGAGGGCAAGAATTGGGCCCTAAGACCTCACTTGCCCCTGACAGTTTATGCACAAAGCATACCCACACATGTCACCCGATCACCATCACCAGCCTGGCTTCAATTTCTACTGTTTCCACCAAATGGGAGGCCCGGGATGGGCCTGGATGGGGAGGTCCCTCCATTCTGTTCCCCAACCTGCCTCTTTCTCCCCACTCTACAACTGGCTGGCACCCCCGCTTCCTCCCTGCTGACTCCAGAAAACAAGAACATTCAAGGATTCAATTTGGGGTGATCTCTGTGGCAACCCACCCCTGCTCTGGGCCTCCTTGGAACATTGGGGTGAGAACTCAATGTTGAGCCAATGTCTACCCCTCAAGTGGCCCAAGTCCCCTCACTCTCCCTGAGGCAGGCCAGGCCCCAGCGGCCTCTGCCACAGTATCCCACTCCTGGCGTCTCTTCACAAGCTGGAGAGGGAGCCCCAAACCCTCACCTTTTGGTCCACGATGGAACAGGCCAGCTGCTTCACATGGGCCAACTCTGAGGCAGCGGGCAGCAATACGAACTCGCGGGTCAGACCGATCTGGATGTGGAAGGAGACTCCAGAGCCCGGGGCGGGAGCCTGGGCCAGCAGAGGTTGTGGCGACTGCAGCTCCAAGCCGCCGGGGGGTGGAGGAGAACCCGGCCCGGGAGAACCCGGGAGCCCGGCGGGATGGGAGGGGGCGGCGGCCATGAGGGCTGGCCCGGACCCCCAGCCCGGAGCCCACCCGGGATCCGGCTGGAGAGCCCTGGGAACCCGGGCCCTGGATCCGACGGATCTCGTGAGCTGTGGTAGGAGCGCAGGGATGGAGCCGAGAGCGCGGGCAGGTTGAGAGCGACAGAGGAGGATGACAGGATCCTGGGAAACGGGAGAAAAGGACTCCGGTGGACCACACACGAGAAATCGAGGGATCAGGAAGGTCAGAAACAGAGAAATAGTGGCTTGGGGACCAAGCGAACAAGAGACTGTAAGCAATCAGAAAGGGACATCTAGTAGGTCAGGGTTACGGGGATCAAGAGGCAGCGCGATCCAAAGGCCCCTTGAAGAGAGGAGTTCGGGGAGCGGGGGATCCCGGGTCCAGGGGCTCTAGGAAGAGAACCTGAGAAGGAACCTGAGGGGTTCACCAGCTGGGAGTAGAGGGCAGGAGTCCGAGCGGGGGGTCGAGGGGATCCCAGTGGTCCGCTGGACCCAAGGATGGACAGAAGGGGTCCCCCAGGGCCGGGGTAGAAAGGAGGGAAGCTCACAGGTCGCGGAAGTTAGAACAAAGTTCGGCCGGGGCACGCAGGGGAGGGGGCGTTACCGGAGGCGGGGTGGGGATGGGGGCAAGGGAGGGTCGCACGGCGTGGGTGGCTCTTTTCCCCCTCCAAGTTTAAGTCGGCAGCTGCGGCCCAGGAGGAAGTGTCCCGAGCGATGGTGCCGACGGCCAATCGGCGCGGGCCTCGGTGACGTCATGGAGGGGCGGGACCTTCCGAGGGGCCGGGGACGGAAGGGGAGGGCGGGCCCGGTGCCCTGGAGTTGGGGGTGGGACCTTCCCAACCTGGCGGGGGCCCCGAGTGGTAGATGGAGGGCCGCAGGGCAGATTGACTCCTCTCCCCAGGCCACCCCAAAGTTGACTTTGTTCCCTGAGCCGACAGGGAGGCCGAGCCCCCCTGACCCCGCCTCAGGTCGCGGGGGCCGGGGTTAGACATTGGTTCTTTAAGGCTGGCCTGCATCCGGCGCCCACCGCGGGGAAAGGGTCGGAAACAGGGTGTCAGTCAGGTCTGGCCTGCTTTCCGGGCTCGGCCTCACTTCCCAGAGTGTTGCCGGTGCTTTCGCCGCGCCCCATCCTAGAGGAGGGGATGCTTCGGTGCACCGCCGCCCCTTCCCCAGACGGGAAGACGGAGGCGGAGTCTGGCTGCAGGTCTGTCTCCAGCGCCCTTGAGCAAGGGACATGGAGCTGACTGCAGGGCAGTGCAGAGGGGGTGCAGTTTCCTTCCTCTTGACCCCGAGGACTGTGGCGTGCAAGGGCTGGGGGAACCGGAGGGAGAGCAGCACACCTGCACCGCTTCAGGCTGGAGATCCGACAATCTCCTAGGGCCATGCATGTGATTTTAAGGGCTTCCCCTCTGTGAGCCTCGGTCTCCCCATTGTTAGATGGGACTGTAATAGAGACTGACCGTAGAGGGTCTTTGTGAGGGCTGATGGGATGGTATACAGGTGCCTGGAACAAGATTTGGTAAATCGTAGCCTTTGCTAGTGATTTGTAGAAAAAGGGGTGGCATCTCAAGCACTCACTCAGGGGCTTATGGGTGAGTTTGTTTATTCCCTTAGAGATCCAGCAAGCATCTGTTGAGCGCCTACTGTGCGTCAGGCCTGCCTGAACACACCTCCAGCCCCCTCAGGGGCCGTTCTGACTTGGGTTTCTCCTCCTTAGCTAATAATCAAATAGTAACTACCATTCAGTTTACATACAGGAAGCTGAAGTCTCAAAGAGCAGTGACTTGTCCAAGATCACCCCCTCCAAGATAGGTCAAGGCCTAAATTTAAGCTGCAGAGGCACCCTGATAAAGTTGGGCCACCCACCTGGCCTGGATCCTCCACGAGCAGGGCCGCCAGGACGCAGACTGCAAGCAGAACCCCCTTTCCTTGTACAAGGCTGTTGGGGGCAGTTGAGGTTGGTACAGTGTTGATTCTGTCACCACATCCGGGGGCTGGGGTGGGGAAGGAAGTCTGAGGCTGGAGCGAAAACCCAAACCACCACCTGGGGAAGCTGCATGGAGCCCAGAGGGATGAGGGGGGCTGAGGCCACGTGGAGCCCACAGCCAGGCCCCTGATTGTGTGGCCTCCTCATCTGTCCACTTAACCCTTTTCATCCTCCCTGAGTTCCTGGGCCCTGAGGGCCCGAAGAGGCACAGGTATCAAAGGCATATTACAGAGGGGCTGGACTCACCTGGAGACACCTGACTGGGGGGAGGTGGAGGTCCCAGAGCAAGCAGGGAGACAGGACTGCACACAAACTCCCATGACGCGCTGGAGCCCTAGAGCAACCCCTCCTCCACCTCATCCTCTGACAAGGGGACAATAGGTGGCCCCTACTTGAGGTTGTGAGAACTGGTTAAATGTCAGGAAAAGGGACTGGCTCCCAGTGCAGCAGAGGGAACATCAACCAATGGGAAGTCAGGGACTCCGTGCTGTGGTGAGGGCTGGGTTCCTGCTCATCCTCCAGGACCCTCCCAGCATGCCTGCCAGGTCCACCCCCTTCCCTCCTGCTCCCCAGGGGCCCAGGTGTGGAGTGGGACCAGGAAGGAGGCTCAGTCCTCAGCACCAGCCAGCAAACACACTTAGGTGGCCAGGGTCTCCGGCTGACCTGTCACACTGTGACATCTCCTCAGGGTCCTGCCCTGGGAGCGTGCACTCAGGAACAGAAAGGAGGGGCACGAGGAGATTCGGTTCTGTGCCCCTACTTCCGCCCCTCCACCAGCACCCCGCCCAAGCACTGAGCCAGCACCCCTCTGCTGTACCACAAAACCTCAACCCATCCAACTCCACCTCCCCCCAAGCTCCACCCATCCAAGCAGAGGGGGTGATTCCTCCCCCAAGTCCCCAGCCTCCTCAATAGATGGCACCAGCACCCATCTTACTCCAAAGGGTTTATTGAGACAAGTTTTCACATACAAGTTCAGGGGCAGAGAGGATGGGGTTTATAAACAGGAACCTGGAGGGGGATCAAGGGTGTGGGCAGAGGGTGAAACCCAAACGAAGAAAGTGAAATAAATAGAGGTGAAGTGTGTAGCCAGGAGACCGACAGACCATCACACAGTGATAACGGGGTGGGGCGCCATTAAAATCCCATTTATTTATACAGATATACAGGGAGTTATGGGGGGGCCCAGGGGCCCCTACTCCACCCTCCAACACCTTAAGGAGGGGCTCAAGAAGGCCCTTGGAGAAGGCTATCCCTCTCCAGGGGACTGTGGGGATCTGGAAGGGCCACTCTCAGAGGAGGGCCATAGGCGCTGCTTCCCCAGGCAGGACCATGGCCGGGGAGGCTTGATTAGTGTCTGAAAAGCAGGGGGGCCCTGTGAGTGGCCCCTGGAGACCCCTCCCAGCACAGCTCCCGCCAGGCCTGGAGGGGCAGGGCTCAAGGGAGCACCTGGTACCTCCCGGCATCTTAGAAAAACGGACCCCCAAGAATACTTGGACCTGGCTGTGCTGCCCCCAAGGAGGCAGGAGATACCGGGAGTGGGCATCAGGGCACGGGCAGAACCCCGAGGCCATCCTCGAGGGGCAACTCCTAAAGGGGCCCATCCCCAGACTGGGTACAGGTGTTCCTGGAGAAAGGGCTGTTAGCACCGCCAGGCTCCACGGCAGGCTGGGAGAGGCCGACCTCTGACCCCCAGAGTCAGGCTGGTAGCCACCTGCAGAAGAGAAGGAAGGGAGACTGACCACACCTTTAGGACCCTCCCTGGGCCTTAGCCCCTCCCCTGTGTGCCCAAAGGCTACTCAAGTCATTCTGAGCACAACCTCAAGTGCCAGGCCAAAGGGCTGTGGGGCCCTCGGGGACGAGGATGCAGAGCCTTCTGCCCTCCCCTCCTGCATAGAGGGCCTGCCACTCACCTCAGCCCCACCTGCCAGGCCCACTCCCCAGCCAGTGTGGTGGCCAGGGCGGGGCCAGGTGGCATCATACGAAGACCTTGGCCAGGGCATCAGCGCCAGCACTGGCAATGAGGGCCTTGCTGGGATGACAGGCAACAGCATGGATGGCCTCTTCGTGCTTCTTACGGTGGGCTGTGATCTCCTGCACACACGTCTTGTTGTCCAGGCTCCACAGGCGCAGGGAGCAGTCATGGCCTGTGCAGGAGTGGGAGGACTGTCACCAAGTTCCTCACCCAGACCTGGCCCTGGAGGCCCTCACCTGGCCTCATCCTAAGGTCGTAGGGCTGGTGGGGCTCTGTCCAAAGGACAGACCTGTCCCCATCCTATCAACCATCCATCTAGTCACTGGGTGTTTACTGAGCACCTACTGCAAGACAGGAGTGGGAGAGTCACAGGACAAAACTGGCCAATCTTTCTGCCCTGTGGACACTGCAGTGTGAACAAAACAGCAGACAGGGGTGGGGACACAGCCCAGTGGTACGACATTTGTCTAGCATGTGCCAACCCCAGTATCAAAGAGAAAAAAGAAAGAAACAGCTCCAGGCGGTGGCACCCAGGGAGAGGGAGGGCACAGGGCCGTCCAAGCAGGGTCACAGCTGTGGAGACTCCTGGAGAGGCTGGAGAGGCAGCCTGGCCAGACCTGGGACCTTGAAGGCTTGGCCAGTGGAGCCCTTCGTGCAGGCCCCAGCCAGGGACGAGGACACTCTGCACCAGGTTTAGTCTTACTGACAGTCCCCTCACACTGTCCACAGACTGCTGCTGTCATCATTGGGCAGGGACAGAAAGAGGCCTGGGCCAAGATGTTCACCAGGTGCCGTGGTGACATGAGGCAGACAGCCATGGCCTGCGCCTCCTTCAGCCTCATCCCCACTCTGTACACACGGGCACAAGCACACTACCACCAAGGCCAGCGGGAGTCTGAGGCAGGGAGGAAGGCCTTGTCCGTCAGCCCCAGGGAGCTCTGTTCCCTGCCCTCCAGCCACAGTCCACTGATGCCACGCCACAGTGCCCACCTCCAGAGACCAGGGCAGAAGCAAGTGTTCAAACCCCCAAGGATCCAGTTCTGAAACTTCTGAGCCTCAGGGCCCACAACTGTAAAATGGGGACAAAACCACTCACAATAGAGGGTGACTCAGAAGAGTAAACAAAGTGACACAGGTGAAGTGTCTACAGTGGGCTCTACACACACAGCTGGCTGTCACCACTGTCATGACCAGCAGTTCTCCTGCCACTGGTGATTCCCAGCCCATGTGGATTCCAGCCCAGGGAGCCCCTGAGTCAGCGCCCAGCTTTTGCTCCTCTGGTGGGGAGGGGGCAGCCACAAGGTCCCAACTTACTTCCTGACATCAGGAACACGCCATTGGGGTCCACGGCTAGGCAGGTGACTGCGTCCAGGTGGGCCACCATGGAGTGCACGGATTTACCTGAAGGGAGAGAGGGTGGGTGGCAGGTCCCTTTCCCTCGGGACTTGCCTGGGAGGCAATAGTGCTGGAGAAGGCATATAGGGGCTCCATGTGGACCCCAGGTTCTGGGTTGAGTCTGCTCCGCCCCACCCCTCATGAGCACAGGGGGGAGGGCCGGCTGGAGGCCAGGTCTCACCTGTCCGATTGTCCAGGAAGCGGATGCCTCTGTCGTCATGGGCAGTGATGGTGAGGGGCTGGTTGGGGTGACTCACCACCTGGTTGATCTGGCTTGGGCCTGGAAAGAAAAGAGAGAAGGAAGGATGCAGAGGAGAAAACCGGGGAGCAGGACGGGCAAGGGGGCTCCAGCACTGCCCATGGTGCCCGTGCCTGAAACTCAAGGGGCCATTCCCTTCCATCTGCCCTGGTGCGGCTTCCACCAGATGGTCCCTGGGCCTCCTCTGCAGTGGATGTAGAAATATTCTGTCCTCTCTGCAAGGCGTCCATGACACACTGCCCCTGGCCTCCCCCGAGACCTGTATGTGCCGGAGCATGGCTCGTCTCCACTCAATCTTATTTCCTTCCTGCTTAGAGCCCCTGAGGGCACAGGGGAGCGAACTGGCAACTGGGTCCCCAGAGCTACTGGAGGAACTGGGACCCTACAGGCTATTCAGTCCCTAAGCCCTCAGACCCCTTACCACTGCTCCCTCGGGACTCCAGTGTGAGGAGGGCGCTGCCAGCCTCCAGGTCATACAGTACAGTGTCGCCAGAGCGGAAGGAAGCCACGACGTGGGCAGGCTCGATGCTGGTGAAGGCCACTGAGGTGGGGATCCCGTGCTCTGAGGGCAGAGGGGAGAAGACTGCCCAAAGAGCCGGATCTTGCCCCGGCACCCAGGGCCCTCTCAGGAGCTGCCCCTTCTCTCCAGGCCTCTAGCTCTACCACACCAGTGTGGCTGCCAGAGGCCCCACTTACCGCCAGTTGCGGGGAAGGTACAGAGGCAAGCTGGGCTGCTGCTGCTGGGGTCCCAGATGCGGACGGTGCCATCGGCAGAGCAGGAAGCCAGGCGCTGAGATGTGGGACTGAAGGCCAAGCCCCACACTGCGTCCCCATGGCCCTCTAGGACATGGCTAAGCACACTTGGGTCTGGGCCAGCCCAGGGAGAAAACAGGCTGCGTCAGGGCTGCCTGCCCATCTGGATGGTCCAGGGGCTCTTATTCTACTGGGACGCAGCCATTGCTTTACCTGGCCTCACACCCGAACCCTGGCTCCCACAGAGAAAGCCCAGTTCCCCACCGCCTGGCCCCGCTAACGCCTCATCTCTTTCTCCACATCCTCCTCATAAACCCTCCGGCCAGCCACGAAAAGACCTGCTGAGCATGAGCACAGACTGCCTGGCTGACCAGTCCTGGCATGTGCTGGACCCTGCCCCCGGCGCCCTGGCTCTGCCTTCCCACCTCATCTCCCTGCCTCGCGCCACCGTCCTCAGCTGCACGCCCAATCAAGCTGCTCCTGGTTCCAGCCAGAAGGGGAACCCTGTACCCCGGCTCCAGTGCCTCAGGTGGGCACGAGGTGGCCTACGTGGCAAGGAGTGGGGAGGCGTCCTCACCATAGCCATCGTAGGGGTCCATGTTGAGGTCTGGAATCTTCCAGCTGTGGATGCGGGCATCCGCCCCTCCACTGTAGCAGTACTCGCTGTTGCTGCCCATGGCTACTGCCAACACAGGGCCTCTGCAGGGGACAAAGGTGGGGAAAGGGAGGTGAGACAGGCAGCTCAAAACTTTCCATGGCTGCAGGGACATGAAATTTCTAAGGATGGCCAATAGTAACTCAGTGTCAGGCCTGGTCATGCCACCTAAGCAAGCTGCCTGTCCCCAACCCCTATTCGTTTCCAACTTGGAAGAGCCAAACTAAGGCCACCGCCAGGAGCACATGGGGACGACAGTCCAGGAGTGAGGGAGTGTGCAGGTGTGCCACACAAGATGGAGGGCACGGGGACTGAGCTGGCCTCTAGGAGGGCCCCTCCTACCTGTGGGCCCGGAAGGCGTGGATGGGCTCCACGTCCAGCGCAGCATTCCTGGGGGAGACAGAGTCGAGCATCACTGAGACCCCCAGCCCTCAGCCTGGAGGCCCCACCCCTGCTCTGGGACTGCTTCTCTCACTTCTTGGCCGTGACTGCCTTCTGCAGGTTCCAGAGCTTGAGCGTGCCGTCCTCGGAGGCGGTGAGCAGCGCCGACTGGCTGTGGTGGAAAGCCAGGGAGCGGATGCCATCATAGTGCGAGCGGAGGGTGAACTTGGGGTTCCACGTCTTCTTGAAGGCATCCTTACTGTCAGACAGCTGAGGGGGCAAGCTGCCTCAGTGTCCCCTTGTCCACTCTGGCCCTCATGCAGACACTGACACCCGGGCCCAGGACACCTCCAGTTCCCACCCAGACTGGCTCCAGCTGGACACCCTCCCTTCCTCCATGTCCAGCAGAGCCCCTCACCCACTCAGAGAGCCCCTGCAATGTGCCAGGTGCTGGGGAAACCAAGGGGCCTGAACTCTTGGGGTCTTGCAGTTCAGAGGGGGCGTCTGCACACATCACACACTATGAGCAGTGCTATAAATCAAGAATACCCAGCTCCTGGGGGTATAGCTCAGTTGGTAGAGTGCTTGCCTCATGCACAAGGCCCTGAGTTCACAAAAAAAAAAAAAAGAGAGAGAGCGCAAGCGTGGCTGGGTACTTCACGAAATGGGTGAGGGGTGGATGAAGCCAGAGGCCAACAGGAGGCAGAATGGTGAGCCACATCCAGAAATAGGCATTTCACCATAAGAAAAAGGCTTAGGGAAAGGGGGAGTCACAGAAGGGTTCAGCCCAGGGGAGCTACGTGGCTGGCTCTGGCCAATCCAGGGAAGCTCAGATTAGGGGAAGAATAGCTGCAGGGCTGGGGTTGGGGCTCAGTGGCAGAGCGGCCGTCTCGCATGGGAGGGGCACTGGGTTCGATCCTCAGCACCACATAAAAGTAAATAAAGATACTGTGTCCATCTACAACTAGAAAATATGAAAAGAAAAAAAAAAAAAAGAATAACTGCAGAGAGATGGGTGAAGAGGCCATATAGCTGCAGGGAAATAGGAGGACACTGAGACCAGACACTTTGCCATGGAAATGCAGACAAGTATGCGGGAGGAGGAGGTTTGAGGCAAAACCCACAGACCTCAATGGATGAGTCCCTGAGGCCCACATCTGCCCTCACAAGGGTGCTGGTACACACCCAGCAGGGATGTGGAAGGGCCAGACTCAGACTGTCCAGCTGGCCGAGTGTCCTGCCCCAGCTGAGGTTCATGCCACATGACCCCCAAAACCTGGCTCAGCCCCCTGCAAGGTCCCTGCTGAGCCCTCCTTTCTGCCACAGCTCTCTGGAGCTAAAGGAGCTGTGGCAGAACTTCTCCTGTGACCCCTGGGGGAGTGGGGGAGCCCCGTGGCCAGCTCCAGGCAGACCCTGGGCCCAGCCCCACGCCTGCACTCCACACCGTGACTCCTATCTTGCTGGATCAACCACTCAAGGTCCTGATCTGCCCAGAAAAAAGCTCACACGCACCCTACTCGCTGCCCCAGAGGCCCCCAGATGGCCCAAGGCCTGACTAAGGTGTCAGGTTCAGAACACAGGCCACAGGGTCTGCCCTGCACCCCTGACAAACAAGGTGAAGCACCTCCTGGGGCCTGGGATGACCTCATAGTCCTGGGCTGAATCCAGGCCTAGAACATGTGGTCAGAGTTTGGCAAGGGCTGCACTGAGCGCAACTCCAGGGGGCACCTGAGAACTTACGTCACAACTGAGGTCGTTGTCGTTGGTGACGGTGAGATCTGCCAAGTCCCCCAGGCTCACCTCCCCGCCCCCGATAGTGTCCATGATGAAGACGTCTGAGGAGAAGCCAAAGGAACCTGGTAGGGGGAGGGTGGGAGGGGCAGAGAGGGCCAGGGAGAGAGAGGCAGAGAGAGGCAGAGAGAGATGAGGAGCGAGAAAGAGGGAGGGAGGAGGACGAGATCAAGAACCACAGCTGGAAAGGAAGAGACAGAGAGACAGACAGGGCAGGACAGACAAAAGGAGAGGAGACAGAGACAGACAGACGAACTTTTGGGACAGGGAGGCTGCAGACCAGAGGCTGGGCCTTGCCCCTGAGGACACAGAAGCCCTGGGCTTAGCTCTGCAGCCTCCCTCTGTCATGAGCCCCAAGGCACTGGGGCGTGGGGTTTACCTTCGTGAGGCCGAGGCTGAGGCGTGCCAGGAGGTGGGCCAGTCACTTTGGGGGGCAGCCCATCCACATCCCGAAGGTCAGCCAGAATTCCCTGGAGTTTGACACGACGGCTTTCTACAGGGAGAAGACAGGAGTCACCCGCCAGTTCCGACCCAGCCTCGAGGGTGCCGTCTTCTCCACGGCCACAGGCCTTTCTGCAGCCGTGGGAAACTGAGGGACCCTCTGGGCGGTGGGCAAGTCTCTGCCCTGTCTTGGGCCTCCGTCCCAGCCATCCACCCATGTGACCTCCCCAAGGGCACTCCTGGCGAGGAGTCACGAAACAGAGAGGAAGACGCAGCCCTGCCCCACCTGCCTCTCCCCCACCGGGTCCTTATCCTGTTCCCTCCTTATGCTCAGCCAGTATTGGACACTGGCCACAGGGGGACAGTGGCCCAGCTCCAGGAAGAATGGCCTTGCCTGTGGCCCCTGGGACTTTCCAGGGAAGGGTGAGGGGCCTGGCCACTGGCTCCAGCCCCTGCTCCCCCCAGCCCCTCCCCTCTTGGAAGCGTATCCATCCGGTGGAGAGACCCGGCAGGAAGCAGCTGCGGAGGCTGTGGGGCCAGCGCAGGGCCAGGTCTGCCCTGGTGGCAGGCAGGCTAGTGGAGGCAGCTGAACAGCGCTCGACTCACCGAGCTCGTGGGGGCTCCCCTCTCCAGTGCAGCGCCGAGGGTCTGGAGACCCCTCCCCGTCCTCTCCTGAGCCTAGGAAGTCAAACTCATTGATGGCATCCTCTGAGTCGTCCTCCTCGTCTTCGTCTTCCAGCTCGGGAACAAGGGCCTTGGAGGGGAGCTGGGGCGTGGACAAAAGCAGGCAGGTCAGGGCTGTGTCAGAGACCAAGCCCACCTGGTCTCTGGGAACAGACAAGCTACAGTCCCTGGCCCTCTCTCTGCCTGGCACCCTCATACCCCTCCTGCCTGGGTGCCCTGCTCCAACCCCAGCTGTCCTGGAGGGTCAACTCAGATTCTGGAGCGCCCCCTGCTGGAGCCCTCGACAGCTGCCCAGCACTAGGGACAGGGCTGAGCCAGGGGCCCCTCATCCTGGCTTCCTGGACCTCTTGGCAGTCCTCCTCCACCTGCCACTGGAATCCGTCCCTGCCCCGTTCCTGCCCCCACCCCAGCACAGGGCTTCTTGGGAAGACATGCTAAAAAAAGCAGTCAGGTGGGGACACGTACTTGTGCGCAAGTGAATGCACAAAGACGCACAGTTAAAGGACAACAGTAGCATTTTAAGCACGTAACAGTAACCACGACACTAACCACTAGTCACACGCACCAACAGAACGAAAGACACCGGATGAGCTTTGCACACCTGGCTCCAGGTAACCACCATAAGCCCGCGCAGCCACCGCGGTCACTAAGCAGAGGGAAGCCACCTGCCCCAGTAGCCACCAAGTCCACGCTAGGCCATGCCCTGGGCAGCCTCAGCCAACCGTGGCCTCCTCCAGGGTGTGGCTGACCCCGCTACAGGTGAGGCCTGAGCTGGGACTGAATCTGGAGGCAATGCCTGTTGGGCACCTGTGAGAGGCCAGACTCTGGCCTGCACTGGGGACCACAGGAGTGGACACGGTCAAGGTTTAGACAGCATGTCCAGAGAGGCCATGGCCTGTGTCAGGACTCACGGACAAGTGGAACCATCACAGATACTCCGAAAAAGGCATGTGAGAGGGTTCTCCCATCACACCCTAGCCCTGTGGGAGCCACCCCACTCCAAGCATGCCTAACAGTGACCAACTGTTGCCATATGGGGGGCTCTTGGTGGAGGGTAGCCTCTGCACGGCTAAGGGCTGTGTATCAGCTCACTTTAAACAGCCCAATCCAGAGACGGGAGACTCGGCCCCATTTCATGTGTTCAGAAACCAGCTAAGACAAGAGAAGCACGTGCCCTACACATGGAGTCACAGCAGGTCTGCTGGGTGGGTCTGCCGTGTGGAGGCCGGGGGAGGCAGAGACCCCGACACACAAGCCAGCCCACAGGGCACAAGGCACAACTGCGGTGACAGATGCGAAGGCCTACTGGAATATTAGAAGTCAGTGGTTGTTTCTGCTGGGAGGACAAGAGGGGAGGACGGTTTCCCAGAGGAAGCGACAGAAAGACCCCCCAGGCGCCGGAGGGACCGTATTCCAGACCAGGGAGGAGGCGAGAGGCCCCAGACTCCAAGCCCTGCTGCCCTCCCTCCAGGCCTCCTGTGGATGCAGTTCCTTGCCTTCTGTTCCCCTCAGAGCCTTAACCAGAAGCCTCGGCCAGGCACGGCCCTGTGCAGAGACACCGGGGGCACTGGAAAGAGAATAGAAGCCACAACGAACCCATCCCTCCCAGGGGCTGGGGAAGAGATACAGACCCGACGCCAGAGCGGTCAGGGCTGGGAAGAGAGAGTCCAGGGACTACAGGAGCCCACGGGAGGTTCCTGACCCTGTGGGGGACACCAAGCAGAAAGCAAGCCAGAGAAAGGCCATGTCACCACAGGAGGAGGTGATGTCTGAGCCGAGTCGGGGGAAGTGGGGAAGGGGGTCTCGGCAGAGGCTGCTGCTGGGAAGGCCGGGATTCAGGGGAGGCCCAAGCCATCTCCCACAGGCCCCTCCTTCCGGCCACATCTCTGCCTCCATCATGACTCATCCTCCTGCACATGACTCCACAAGGCCACCACCAGCCACAAGCGGCTCCCTGTCAGGGACTGCACCCTTCATGTCATTTCTGCCACTAGCACTGAGCTGGCCAAGTGAAGGCCCAAGCTGATGTTGCTCGATAGACAAGACCACGCCAGGTCTAAGGACAGCATCCTTGAGAGGGCGGAAGCACGGGGGTTCTGGCAGGCAGGGAGCAGGGGGACACGTAGGCGGCGCCGGGAGCCAGATCTCGAGACCACGCTGAGGCAACCTGGACACTTCGCCAAGGGCCGTGTCCCCGGGCCTGGGTCCTTACATCAAGAGCAGACTAGACACCCACGTCCTAGAGCCCCCCCAGACCCAGGCTGACCTGGACTCAGCCATACTCACACCATTTACAAATATTTACTGAGCGTCTCTGTTCCACACCCTTTTGAGGACACAGGGACAGAGCCACAGTCCCTTCCTGATGGAGCTCCCAGGCTACTGGAGGAGAGAGAGAGTGACAGCCACAGCAAGATCATTGACTCCACTGGCGAGAGCCTGAGAGGGCACCGAGGGCACGTGGCTGGTGAGGCCTCGCCCGCAGAGCTCCAGAGGAGTCTCCAGTCCACGCACTCGCGCTGAGGAAAGGAGGGGGGCAGCTGGGGGGAGCTCAGACAAAGGCCCTGGGGGCACCTCTGTGGTCAAGAGGGAGGGCCTGATGCGGGACCAGCGAGGGGGCCACCTTCACACGCTGCTTCTTGTGCTGCACGCTGTCCAGCTCGTCATCCTCGTCACTGTCCTCGTCCTCGCAGTTCTGCAGGAAGGGGATCTGCTCCAGCACCGAGCCCCCCAGACGCTCTTGGCCGTCTTTGCCTGCCGCATTCCTGCCCACGACAAGGACAGGAGATCAGTCCTGCCAGGCGATGAATCCCAGGTGGGAAGGAGCCCGGCATGTAACGGAGCCGGAACTCAGTGAAGTTCCTAAGCCCCGGGGAGCCTGGACCCTGATCACGCACATCCTGACCCAGGCTCTGCCCAGCAGATCCCTCATTCAGACCAAAAATAGCCCAGCGCCTCCCAAAACTCCCGCCAGGATTCTGGTGGCCCCGTATCCACCCTGACAGCACCTGCCCCCAGGGACCAAGCTGGAAGGGAAGTGCCACTGGCGCAGCAGCTCCTGTTCCCACGGCCAATCCAACCCAAAAACCAGGTCAGTCGCAGGCAGGGAAGAGGAACCGGCCACCCGACCAATGCCTCTGGGGCCATGGCTAAGCAAGGCTGCAGGACCTGGGCCACCCCAGCGACAGATGGCACTCCTACATCTACCTCCCTGATGACAAGTTCCAGCAGAGGAAGTGTCAGCCAAGCCCGACTCCATGGCAAGGCCGGGTCAAGCAAACCCCTTCCTCTGGCATCTGGCTGCCACAGTTCTCAGTTGCCGGGGACCCCCGCCCCTGGGTGCAGAGATGACTCACCCAGGCTGCCCAGCCTAGTGCTCCTCCTCTTCTCCCGGGAGCACCCCCAGACCCTCCCCACACTCACCCCGTGGCTTCCTCCTGCAGTCCCCCCCCACCCCCCGCTCCCCTTTCCTGCTTCTCCCCCCTTTGGCTCCTCTCTCACATCTCAAGGCAGGGGACTCAGATTCCCCAGGCCATCTATCCTGCTCCCTCACTGACGGCGGGCAGTCCTTGCCTTCCCAAGAACATCCAGGGGCTGGCGAACTGGGGCTGCGTTTAGGGCTACCTGGGCCAAGCTCCACACGGGCCCTCAACCTGCTCTCCACAGCCCTGCGGTTCCACCAGGCTCCCTATTTTAGGAGACGCTGCTCCATCGTTCAGACCAAACCCTACTTCCTTTGCTCCCCGTCACCTAAATCCTTTAAATAGTGCCAACCAAGGAGAAGCCACCATTTCCCGCCTCTCCACCCCTGAGAGCCCTCAGTCCTCCCCTCCCCAGCTTCCCTGACTCCACAGCCTCTCATCACAGCAGACCTGCCAGAAACCAGAGGCTTCCCACAAACACCAAGTGTAGAATCCAACTTTTTTTTAATACCAGGGATTGAACCCAGGGGTACTTAGCCTCTGAGTCACATTCCCAGACCTTTTCTTATATTTTCTTTGGAAACAGGGGCTCTCTAAGTTGCTTAGGGCCTTGCTAAGTTGCTGAAGCTGGCTTTCCTCCCTCAGCCTCCTGAGCCTCTGGGATTACAGTGTGTACCATGGCGCCTCCTAGTACCCAGCATGATCTGCCTTCGAGACCCGGCCTCACCACAGCCCTCAGGCCTGCATCTCCACACTGGTTCCTGCTTCCTGCACACACCACGCCTGTCTCTCTCAGGACAGAGGCTTCACCGTTATCTCTGCCTAGAACATTTTTCTTCTAGGTACCACTGCCCAAATGTCACCTTCCTATCTCATCCAAAATAGCACTATTTCTATCACTTCTTGTTTTTATTTTAGGTACCAGGAATTGAACTCAGGAACACTTAACCACTAAGCTATATCCCCAGCCCTTTTTGTTTTTATTTTGAGACAGAGTCTTGCTAAGTTGTTTAGGGCCTAAGTTGCTGAGACTGGCTTTGAACTTGGGATCCTCCTGGCTCAGCCTCCCAGACTGCTGGGATTACAGGCATGCGCCACCATGCCCAGCTTTATTTTGTTTGGAGGCAGGGTCTCACTGTGGTGTGCCCACTGGCCTTGAACTCCTGGGCTCAAGGAATTCTTCCACATCAGCCTCCCAAGCAGCCAGGACTATAGGAAAGCACCACCATGCCTAGCCATCTCCCGCCACGCTTAACATTTCACCTAATAATGACATTATTAACTCTGACAAATAAGAGCTCCAGAGGTCGGAACTACGTGTTGTTCCCCACCAAGTGCTGTCAAGGCACGAGGGTCCACCTGGTGTGTGCAAGACTGAGCCTCGGGTAGGAGGCCTGGAGAGGAGGCCAGGATAATGTGCCTACAGGGGACCAGAAGAGAATTCAGGGGATCCCAGCAATAGAGGTACAGAGGATTCCAGGACAAATGGACCCACAATACACTCCAGAAAGGGCCAGCAGGAAACCCGGGAGCACCTGCTAGCTTTCAGACATGCATTCATCAGGAGGACACCCAGAGACTCACCTCTTGATCTGCTCCTCAATCTGCTTCACCAGCAGCGACTCACCGCCACTGAGCCCCCCAGGGCCTGGTGCTGCACGGGGGCCCGCGTCACTAGGCTCAGCGGCCCCATTGAGCTCCAGTGAGCGGCCCAGCAGGGAGCGTACACGCTTGGACCGCATGTCGAGGATGGTGTCTGTGTAGCCCACTTCTTCCAGGTACCTACAGGGTCAGAGCCACAACACGTCAGAACCTACTGAGCTTCTTCACAGACGGCAGGGGCCAATGCAAACTGTGACAGCCTTCCAAGGGGCCGTTTAAGAGCAGACACCACAGTTTTCCACAGGCACACCCTGGCACAGCAGTTACACTTTCCAGACTGTTTCAGTGGAAGCTGTGGGCCACATGCACGCTGCACACAGTGTCCCTGGCATGTCGAGGGGAGAGCCCAACTGCAGGACCAGCCTCAATGTCCACTGAAGGGGACTGTGCCAGCAAATTGTTGAACGGGACTCTAGGCAGAGAGCAACCACATCAGAGGGCCAGAGAAAGATGGCTTTGGCAAACGGCAGAATGAAAAACGGCAAGTTAGATGTTCCTTGTGATTGTGTGTGTGTGTGTGTGTGTGTGTGTGTGTGTGGTGCTAGGTTGAACCCAGGGCTTTGTGCATGCAAGGCGAGCACTGTACTGACTGAGCTGTACTCCCAGCCCCATGGATTCATTTTGGTAAAAGAAAAAAAAAATGTTAGGGTGTATATAAGCTTACATCACACACAAACACACACTTGTGTTATGTCCTCCAAGAAAGACACAAACTGAGTAGCAGTGACCTTTACAGAGTAGGATCAGGGACACAAAAGGGACTCTGGCAGCTTATTCCACTTACTTCTACAACTGAGTATATACTGCTTCTGCAACTTAAAAAACTGAAGCCAGCTGAGACTGGCCTAAAGAAAAAAAAAAGAAAAAGAACAAACAAGAACAAAAAATCAATTGTGGGTATCTGTGGCTTGAAAAGATAAGACGACAGTGCCTTGAGGCTCCACAAGGGACCTGTTGGCCAGGAAGTCCTTTCTGTTCATCCTGTCCCCTGGGAGCTGATGCCACCTCTGGTTAGTTAGGCTGCAAGTGCCTTCTTTTGCTTTCCCCTCAAGTGTCTGAGGCAGGGAAGCATGACAACTAAGAAAGTGGCCTCCTGGATCAACGCCTAAGGTCCCCCTGCAGACCCTCTGCATATTAACCGTGGCCTCTGAGCAGCTGTCTGCACCTCAGCTTCCTCACTGTGAAAGTGAAGAGGGGAATGCTGGCGGTTACACTGCACAGGGGCAGACACTTAGGAGAGGAACCAGGCGCACAGCGGGGACCTGGTAATGTGACCCATTAACATCAACATTATTATTTTTATGTCGCCTGGGGTGACTGTGCACGTTCAACTGGCAGCTATACCTGCCGATTATTGAGCTTGGGGAAGCCAAGGACAGCTTCCTGATGTATGTCACTATGTTTGTAATACCAAAGAGTTAAAAACCTCAATGAAATACAACACAAATAATTTACATGGAAAATGTTCACGACACTTAGTAAAAGCAACGTGCTACAAAACACTGGAACAGCGAAAGGGAAATCATGGCTTATGTAACACCCAGCCACAGAAGAATTGGGGAGTCTACCTGCCCCCATTTGGGAAGTCAACAGTACAAATGACAAAATTGTTACGGGCACATAAAATCCCCAGGGTAAAATTATGAGTAATGTTTATTTACTATTAATATTAATATTTTTTGGTCCTGGGGATGGACTGGGGCCTCATACATGCTAGGTAAGCACTCTATTACAACATCCCCAGATTTTTTTTTTATATTTTTGTCAGGGTCTCACTCACTAAGTTGTTGAGGCTGCCTTGAACTTGCAATCCTCCTGCCTCTCTAGTACTGGAATTACAGGTGGGTATATCAGGCCCAGCCCAAGTTTTCTAAAATGTACAAATCCTTTCAGTAATAAAAAAAATAATAATTTGGGCCAGACACAGTGACACACACCTGTAATCCCAGTGCCGAGGAGGCTAAGGCAGGAGGATCGCAAGTTCAAGGCAGCCTCAGCAACAGCAAGGCCCTAAGCAACTCAGTGAGACCCTGTCTCTAAATAACATAAAATAGGGATGTGGTCAAGTGCCCCCGAGTTCAATCCCGGTGCCCTCCCCCCCACACACAAAAAAAATAATTTGGCTGTGAGTATAGCCGAGTGGAGCAAGTGCCTAGCATGCTCAAGGCCCTGAGTTCTGTCCCTGTACTTCAAAAATAATAAAATTTAAAAGATAAATAATAATAAGTTCACACTACCCTTAGGAAAAAAAAAAAAAGCCTCAGAAACATTCAGGTTGTATTCCCACAGTAGGGTCCCCACATCTGCCTCCTGCAATGAGTACTTCCTCCTGATCCCCAGTTCCACTCGGAGGTGACAGGCCATACAGCTGTGGCTAGCTGGGATCCCGATAATTCAGTGTCCCCAGTGTGGACAGGAAGGACAGTGGAGCCCACAGGCTTATCTCCTGTGCCAAATGTGTTGTGTCCTGCCCCTCATCCTCTCCCCACCCTCATACTCACTGTCGAAGAAGCTGCCTTCCCTCTTTCCATACCAGCGGGCTGTTCTCCAGGGTGACCGACTCCACAGGGCCATTGGAGACTGGTGGACAGAGAAAGAAGGCTGTCTCTGGGCACCGCTACTCACCCAACACCTCCCCATCCCTCACCCCAGACCCAAATCCATCTTCGCAGGTCACTTCCCGAGGGCTGGAAACCCACTCTCCTGTTCTCAGTGATCTTGCTCCTGGAAATACTCCTCACCTTTGTCTCCAGCCTGTTCCCCAAACCACCCCACAAGTAAAAGCTGAGCTCTGCCTTTTTATTTTATTTTTTAATATTTTTTGTAGTTGTAGATGGACACAATACCTTTATTTTTATTAATTTTTATGTGGTGCTGAGGATAGAACCCAGTGCCCGACACGTGCAAGGCACACACTCCACCACTGAGCCCCAGCCGTGGCCCCAACAGAGCTCTGCTTTCCAACTCAGGCCTAGATGTCATATTCCTACCCAGAGCCTAGGAGGACAGGCAGCTGGGGTCAAGCCCAACTCTGCCACTTCCCACACTCATGGTGTGACCTAGAGCAGGCCAGCCTACTTTCCTGAGAAATGCAGGTAATGACAGCACTGACCTCTTAGGATCACTTGGGGATCCGGTTGGTAATGTGCCTAGTATTATATACAGCAAGTATGTCCTGGTGTCCCCGCTGTGCCTCTCTAGGCCTGGCTGCAGAGTCTGGCCACAGTGGAACTCACAGCCTGGCTGGAAGAGTCCCTGCACCTAGTGGGCAAGGGCCCTCGCAGCTGCCCTCGCAGCTCCCCTCGGCCAAGCCACAGCTTCACCCAGTGCAGCCCCTCGGGTCTGCCACCCTCCCCAGCTGTTCTGGCCTCGCTGATTCCCCCTGCCCTCCCCTGAAATCTGCCCTCACTGCCTCTGGAAGAACAAGCCTCTCCAGGCGCTCAGGCTCTAAGGACCCAGAGGGCAGGGGCTACTCGCGCCCTGGTGTGCTCCTGTTCTGGGACAGAAAGCAGCACCCACAAATAAACTTTCTGGATGTATAGCTGGCTGCCAGCCCAGCACACACACCGCCTCTCAGCAAGGCTTCCGCAGCTTCCTACGCTGTCCACAGCACCCTATAAATAGCCTGGCTCCCGCTCTCACAGGGAGGCGCAAGCTGCTGCGATTCCATGGCTGTCTCAGAGGGAGGGCTGGCAGGCAGAGTCCACCCCAGGGCCTGGCAGAGTCCACAGAGCGCACACAGCAGGGCGCTGAGAACTCCATCCCACGGCCCGCCCTGCCTCATGGCCAGGACTGCTTTCCACAGAGCACAGTGAGAGAGCACCCCGTCTCTACACTGCCCCTCACAGCCAGCTTCAGGGAGGGGTGACAAGGGCCGGGAGCCCAGGCTGGGTACCTTGTTCTGCCAGATCTGGTTTCTTCTCCCCCTGGTTCAAGTCTGTCCCAAACTTCAGCTTATGATATTTGGCCCTAAAAAAGCAAATGATTAATGAGCAAGAGACAGGTGGATGGGCCAGTAGTCACCTCCAGAATCCCAAATCCCAGGGCCTCCCTCACCCACTCACCCCACGCTGAAGCAGACGTCCCCCCAGGAGATGCCACGGTGAATGCGGTGATGGAAAGCGACTCCTTGGAGTCAACCTGGCTGTGCTGCCATCCCAGCTCCAAGAGTCCTTGAAGCCACCCCCATCCTAAAGCCTCAGTTTCTTGTCAGAAACAGGACAATCATGCCCAGCAAGTTTCAGAACGGGCAAGCAAGCCCGCGATGGTCCATAGTCAGCACACCGGGGGCCGCCATCACACGCACTGCCTCTGCTGTCTACCCTGGATCCCACTGCGCCCTGCTTCCTCTTCCTCCCGAGGATGACAGGAAGAGGATGCCTGGTCCTCGAGCGCCTGCAGTCGAAAGGCACACGGCCCACAGACCTCTCAGGTCAGGACAAGCAGGCGGCAGGACTCACCTTTCCTGCTTCAGCGCGTACTCCAACATCTTGATCCGCCGCACCAGGTCAGTCTTTAGGTTTTCTTGCCCTTTCCTTTCTCCCTGGAGGAAGGCCACCTGAGCCTGGGGACAAAAGGGAGAGGAAGAGGGTCTCAGGGCTCAGTGATGGTGTCACTCACTCACTCAGGTACAGCCCCAGGGCACTGGCCAGACATGCTGGACCTGCCTCTGGAGTTCCCAGTCATGTCACCACCTGAAAAATCTGAACAGGAGTGCTCAGCCCCAAAATGAAAATGGGGCCAGGGTGGGTCTGACTCGGCTGCTGGTCAAGGCCGGCAGAGGAGGGGATGAAGGGAGATGCAGGCCCTCGACCTCCCTTCCAGCATCAAGTCAGCTGTTACCCCTAAGGTGGCGGGTGGAGGTGGTGTCCCACTATTCTTTCCAGAGCATCTGTCTCTAGGAGGCGTAGGAAGTTACTTCTGGAGCTTAGGGACAAGAGTGGGTGGCTTAGCTCAGCTCCAACTGCAATGCAGAAACTTTACTACCCGACCCCCACCACGGGAACCAACCATCCCGATGTCACACCCAGGGCATGAGGGACATGTGCCACAGACACGGTCCAGGGCTCCTGCCAAGCATTTCACACCATCTGTTGGCTCAGACTGCCCCGGTCTGCTCTTCTGTCAACAGGTCATTAGGAAACAAGGGGCCAACGGCTTTCGAGGCAGGATCTTGGCCCCTGATCGTGTTCCTGAAGACCTCTGCCAAAGCCCTGAGCATGCAGCTCATCCCTGGCTTCTCCCCAAGGGCTCCACGTTCCAGCCTGAGACGGCCTGAGCTCCAGTCCTGGCTTAGTCACTTATTTGCTGCATTAGCTTAGGAAGATCATCGAGCCAGCCTCTGGCCCTCTAGAAAATGGGGTGCACAAGAGCACCTCCTCATGTGTTCCATTCTCCTCAGCCAAGGCCCAGCCCAGAATGAGGGCTAGCAGATGCCAGCTCCTCCTTCCACCTCTCTTGCTATTTTTATTCTCTGTCCATCCTTTTGAAACTTTAAAATGGGCCCATTTCCTCTGGGGAGCTAGGATCCCTGAGAGAGGCAAGGCCCGTCAGGCAGGAACGCTACGGACCACAGGCCCCCTGCCCTGCTACACAACCACGTCTTCCGGCCACGGAGCTCCCTGCACGTCACATACCTGTTGAAGAAATACAAGGCTCTCCCGGAAGCCCCCCAGGCCGACCCTAGATATCTTCCTTCAAGCTTTGCTCTGCCCAGGGCAGCCTCTCAGATGCCCACCCACACCACTATTCCTCGCCATGGGCTGCCAGGACCCTGACCTCCAGCCCATGCACCTGGAGCAGGGCACGTCCCCATGCCCCAGGCCTGCTATCACCCCTGTCGTGCCCCAGGGACCAGGAACTGCCCTCAGGTTGGCTGAGAATTGAGCACATACTAAGTGATACTTAGCACTGGCCCAGGCCAGGGACACAGGCACATCTGTACACTTGGTAGGGCCATGAATTAATGAACCCTTCCTGGAGGGCAACCTGGCAGTATCTAGAAAGAGATTCAGCCAGGCATAGGGGTGCATGCCTGTAATCCCAGCAATTCGGGAGGCTGAGGCAGGAGGATTATGAGTTCAAAGCCAGCCTCAGCAATTTAGTGAGGCTCTAGGAAACTTAGCAAGACGCTGTCTCTAAATAAATTATAAAAAGGGCGAGGGACGTGCGTGGCTCAGTGGTCAAATACCCCTGGGTTAAAACACTGGTATCAAAATAAAATAAAATGGGCTGGGAGTGTGGCTCAGTGGTAGAGCACCCTCAGGTCCGAATCCTAGTAGCTAAATAAATAGAGGTTCCACAACCTTGCTTTTGTCCTATCAGTTCCACCTCTAGGAATGTGTTCTGCAGGCATACCTGCAATGGTGCGCCTCTTTATGAACAAAGAAGAAGGGATACACACACTAATGTATGACAAAAGGAGAGCTGTTCATTTAATCCACAAACTATTTAAGCCCAAACTATGAATCAGGGTGCAGAACAGAGCAAGACAGGGTTTATATTCTAATGGGGGCGGGCTATGGGACTAACAAGCAGCACATAAACACATCATCAGATATGCTACGGCAAGACACCTCACTTATCCACCGAGAGGACCTTTTCCCTCCTAAGACTTTAATCAACATGTATATACTTGAATATCCTGGGCCCGTAGGCAGACTCCCCATGTGATCAACATCTCAGAAGCGTGAACTTCTGTCCTGTGTGTCTTCTCAGTACCCAAACCTCCGCTATACCTCATTTGGGAAGGTGGATGGAGGGAGAGTAGCCAGGGAGGGTCCACGCTGAGCAGCCCTGGGTCTGCTCCCGCCTGCCCTTCTCAGCTGTCCCCACGGGTGCTTCTACCTCCCAGCGTCTTTCCTTCCATGCTGGATCCCCCTGTTGGCTACAATGCAAGGATTTCAGCCCACTCTGCTCTGTTGTCCCCTTCTGTTTCTCTGGCAGAGAAGGGACAAAAGAGAACCAGAAATATGTGGTTCAAGTGTCTCGGACTGGTGGAATCCCACCAAAAGGGGAAATGTAGGTGGCCAGTCAGCCTCCCAGCAACACCAGCAAGCGCCAGCAGCTCTATTTGATCTGTGAGCCAGGGTGGCAGGCGAGCCTGGGATCTAGAAGCTCTCTGCTCACCATATCCACCCACTGCCTCTCCCTCTGGCCAGACAGACAGAAGACACCCTCACCAAAAGAACCATAGTTCTTGGGGCTGGGATTGTGGCTCAGTGGTAGAGCACTCGCCTCGCATGTGCGAGACCCAGGGTTTGATCCTCAGCACCACATACAAAAATAAACAAGTGAAATAAAAGTGTTGTGTCCAACTACAATTTATATATATATATATAAAAGAATGAACCATAGTTCTGAGACATGGTGGCCGCCTCCCCCCAGCTCTTCCCTGTCTTTAGAAAGGCAGCAGCTCCCAGGCTTCCCTCTGGGAACTGTTGCTTCTTCACGCCTGCCTTTCTGTCCCAGGGTCCCCATGCAATGCCTGAAGCCCTGTAGCACCTCAGCTCCTCCCTCCAAAGTTCCCATGGCTCCTGGAAGGGAAGAGTTCCCACAAGATCCCAAACCCCCTGGGACAGGCACCACACCTGCTCCCACATGAATGTCTGGGTCGGAACCCTCCGCAAAGGGTTCCTCTGGTCCTTAGAGAGCTTCCCTTTCAGAACACAGCACACGGCACCAGGGCAGAGCCCTACAATTGCATGCAACTGCGTGAGCGTGTGCAATCTGTGCAGACTCCTGAGCACACCACCCTCCTCTGGGGGCTGCAAGTTTCTGAGGGGCAAAAAGCATAGCCTACTTCTTGGAATCCCCGTGAATACACTACCACTTATTATCAGACTGGATCTGCACTACCTCCCCACTCCAAAATCTCGGTGCCTCCAGGTAGAACCTCGTCCTGAGCACTGGCTACACAGCAGGTCTGCACGGGTAGCAGCCGGCTCAGCTCTTCCCAGTTCATCAGAAGTTACCTGACGTTGCTGGCGCAGCAGAGTCTGCAGTGCTGTAGGAAAGGTGTGCCAGAAGAGGTGCCACTGATGGGAATGGACAATGCTGGGGCACTGTGGCATGGCGCCAATTGAGGAGCAAACATCTGCTCCCTCCACAACGCCACCCAGACAATCCGCTTTACCCAGGGAAATAAGCATATTCACCACTCTTTATTTATTTTTTTTTTCAGCTTTGAGGATTGAACCCAAAGGTGCTCTACCACTGAGTTACATCCCCAGCCCTATTTATTTATTTATTAACTTTGAGACAAGGTCTCACTCAGTGGCTGAGGCTGGCCTGGCCTCAAACTTTAGATTCTCCTGCCTCAGCCTACCAAGTCACCAGGATTACAGATGTGTGCCCCCACACTGCACACCCGTAAAATGTTTTAATTTTTGCTAATGTAACAAAAGCATAAGGTAAGTGGTGCTGGAGACCAGATAAGAGTGCTCCCCATAAGTTCCCCTCAAATTCAAGAAGGGTCACTAAGACATGGGATACACATAGCTTTTCTCTCACTAGAAAAAGATGAGAAGGTGGTTAATGGGTGGTGTAGGATACACTGGTGTGAAGTTTCACAGACCAGGATTCAGCTTAAACTCTGCTATGACCATTGGGTGACCTGGGGAGGCCATCTAGGCCAATTTCTTATCCGGACTGGGTGGAAAAAAGGAAGGGAACACAGTCCAGCCTCAAGGATCCTTCATAAATCCTTTGCTCTCCCCAAACCTGTTTCCTCTTCTGCTTTTATTTAAAAAGGGAGGGCTAACATAATTTACTCTCTAGGATGATGCAAGAATCAAATGAGAGTGTGTACCTAAAGTGCCTAATACAGTGCATTGCACATTAATATGCACTGAATAAATAGCAGCTGTTATGATTATTGCTGAGTGAGGTAATGACGTTGGCCCTGCCTACATAATGGGGTATTGACAAGATCTAATGAGATGTATGCTGGGAAAGAACTTGGAAAGTATAGAGTGAGCCACAAAAGTGAGGCTCACTTATGTAAGGATTCCTCTCCCAACTCAACCAGAGCCTCAGCCACCACTCAGCTAGGATTGGGGGAAGGGGCAACTGTGGGATGCTTTTTATCAAGCCCATCATCAAAATTCTAATCAGTTCTTTATGTGGGCCCTAGATAGGAAGCAGCAAATCAAAGAGCAAAGATGGGCTGCTAGAATCAAGTACTGACAACTTCGGCTAATAATACACCAGCTTGGGAGTCCTAGGACACCTGGCAGCCCACCCCTGATCTTTTCAAATCCTCACCTCTCTGATCCCCAAACTTCTCTTGACACTGTCCAAAAATGACCCACACTCCTCAAGGTCACAAAAGCTAGCCCAATCCTTCAGACTCTTCCCTGCAGCATCCCAGGGCACATTCCCCCCCTCCCCCAAATCACAGGGTTC